ACTGCAGATAACAGTCAGCTGAAGTGGCCTGCAGTACTGCACCCTAACCACTACGCCACCTCGGCTCTTAATCCCTCCTTAGCTATAGAAGCTCATTGGCTGAATTTGGCCCAGTCCCTCCCTCTCAATCCAAGAGCCAGTCAGGTGTAGCAAGTAAGGTGTTGGATTAACAGCAAAGAGACTCAGGTTCTAATTCCTCCCCAGCCATAGAGGTTCTCTATGGAATTTGGGGGTATTTCTATCACAATCAGTGGTAGGATACGACTGGAACCCCCCAGTATGGGCATACCGGTGCCTGCTGGGAGCACCAGGTACCGTTCTGGTGTGGTGTTCCGGAGGGTCCGCCTTCCCGCCCTCCTTACCTGTATTGCGCCGAGCGGGGCTTACGCTCACGGAGTGTACGGCGCCTGTGCAACGCCCCACCGAGCAGCTGGAGCATCGCAGAGTGTCACAGGCAGTAAGTATGCATGCACGCACTGCACGCATGCTGTGTGCGTGCTGCACGCGTGCATGTGGTAGATGCCCGGCTCGGTTGCAATGGGATCCGGAACCCACCACTGATCACAATCTAACCTAACTCATAGGGATGTTAACATATGTTACATATGGTACCCTTTGGTGATGAGAATGGTGATGACGGTGACAATAATAATGTTATTAAACAAGCCTTTTTTGTATGTCTCAGTCCCAGGTCCCTGTGAGCCCGAAGATCTGTTGGAAGGGGTGATCTTTGGAGCCAAATATCTGGGCTCCACACAGCTGGTTTCCGAGAAAAACCCATCCACAAGCATTCGCATGGCTCAGGCCCAGGAAGCCGTTGATAGAATTAAGGTGGGAAGGGAGAACAGCAGGGATGTGACACCAAGAGGGAACCTTGAAATTACATCTACACTTACAATCACAATTGAGCCCAAAATTTCAGTTGCTAAGTGAGACAGATGTGAGTTTTGCTCCATTTTACGACCTTTCTTGCCACAATTGTTATGGAATCATGGGAGTTGTTAGGTTAGTAACATGGTTGTTAAGTGAATTTGTCTTCTCCACTTCTGACTTTGCTTATCAGAAAGTCAAAAAAGTGATCACTTTGCCCCAGGACACTGCAACCGTCATAAATATGAGTCAATTGGCAACCTTCTGAATTTCAATCACGTGACTGCTGCAACAATCATGTGTGAAAAATGATCATGCGTCACTTTTTCAGTGCCGATGTAACTTTGAATAGTCACTAAACAAATTGTTGCAAGTCGAGGACTGCTTGTACTCAGTTACACAGAAGAAAAGGGAGCTCTGTTCTAGTTGCAGCAAAATGGAGCCTCCATGTTCAAGAGCAGCTTACATTTTGTTTTAGTCATTAATTCTGTTGACATCCAAATCATGTCTATTCTTGACCACGACAAATGTCTGAGTAAAATGTATGTTGCTTTTCTTTCAAATGTCTTTTTCTCCACACATCCTGTAAGGTTAATTCATCTACATTTGTAAAGAATGTTTTGAGAAGAACTTCTTCTTCTTAGCTTCTTATTCGGTTTTGTAGTTTTATAGTCCAGCTCATTATTTACAATCACATTAAAATCTCCTATTATACACCTGTCTAGAGCAGCTTACATTTTCAGTGCAATCACTGGAGCAGTGGCGAACAGGGCCACAATCTCCATCCCACAATCACCTATTTTCTCTTTCTTTCACTTGTTTTTCTTGCAATCCAGGCTCCTGAGGGAGAATCCCAGCCAATGACCGAAGTAGATCTCTTTGTCTCCACTCAACGGATCAAGGTCCTCAGCGCTGACACACAGGTGCATTGACAGCTTCCCCTCTCAAGAAGCATTCAGCCTGCTGCCTCCGTTTGAGATCCTGTCCAGTGGGCAAGGCTCAAAATGGCTGCTTTTAGGGTTGCGGGAGGATGGCCCCTCACAAAGCATCCCTTAGCCAGAAGACCCACAGATGAAACTATGGCACTGCTCCCGCCCTACATCCAGGATATTCCCCAGTGTGCCATCACTTTTTTTAGATTGTGTGTGTGTGTGTGTGTGTGTGTGTGTGTGTGTGTGTGTGTG